GAAGGAAGGAAGGAAGGAAGGAAGGAAGGAAGGAAGGAAGGAAGGAAGGAAGGAAGGAAGGAAGAGAATAAGTGGCAAAATGAAATACATAGTGATCGCTGAGCATAATAAGGAAGGCTAGACCTTTTCCTGCTGAAATGGAGGGTGGCCTCTTTGCTTCCTTAGCTGAACTCTAAGGCCTCAGTACAGGACTTGAGGATAAATCACAACCTGACTGGATGACAGCCTCACAAGACAAGGCTCAGTCTGTCCACCAAAGGCAGTGACGAGGCTACATACCCGTGGCAAGCGAACCTGAACGGCAGAAGAGTCTGAGCTCAGGCCTCTTCTGCTTTTGGCCCAGCCTTGTTTAAAAGTTATCTGAGAGCGACTCTTCCTATGTCAGATCTTATGGGAGTTGTTATGTACCCAGTGGTTTTTTATTAACAAAACCAACACAGCTGCGTTTGGACAGATGGAATTATTTTGTCTTTCAGGAAGGCTGCCTGCTGTAGCTGAAAGAAATCCATTTCCACCATTTCGTGTGGAGCCGGAGCGCCCACGTGGGCCCTTGCAGCGCAGCAGGCGCGTGAGTAACGCGGACCGGGATCGTCTCCTTCCTTGGGCTTTTGGGGAATGTGACCCCACGTTCCAGCAAGTGCCACTGGAACACGAGGTAAAACCCACAGACAGGAGGCACGCACGAAGGAGGACAAGGAAGCAATCCAGACCCACAGCAATGAAATTCCAGCCAACATCCTCGAGGCAGTGCTGTAATAAATTGGCATTGCCACGGACCCAGATGCAGCTGCAGGAAACATGGATTTGGGGTTGTTTTATATCCCATGGATTGGTGTCTAGGCTCTGTAACAAGCAAGTATGATCTCTAACTGAATAGGAGCATAGCCACAGGAGAGGAAAGATTAAGGGTATCAAAGGAATACATTTTTCATTTCACTCCTTTCTTATTACATTAGATTAAAAGAAAAAAAAAGAAAGGAGAGTTTTGTTCAGCATTCAATTTTGAGAAGAATTAAATGAGCCAAAAGCATTGTTCAGAATTAGAGCACCGAATAAAGGATTTCAAAATCACAGTGTGTGGTTCGTGGTGGGATTTCTGCTTCCTTTAAAGACAAGCCATATACAGCTGTACCAGAACTATTGTCCTGTGTCTCACTGAAGAAATAGTTATTCTCTGAAGTGCTCCATCTGTTAAGACACATAGGTGAAAGCTTATAAATCAAGGAAACCACTCAAACTCTCTTCTGGTTTAAATTGCAATCGTTCAAAAAGCAGCAAAGAAACAGGAATACATGGATTAATTAAATAGCTTTTGATTGCCCAGTTATGAAAGGTAGCAGGAATTGGTCTTCTTTGGGAAGCAACGCAGCAGCAACCAGTTTGCACATGCGGGACTAAAGTCAGCCCTAAAGTGATGCAAAGGCAGCAATCTTACAGAGCATGGTTGTTTCTTAGGAGCCCTCACAGAGAGGACAGATTCTTCTGTAGGATATGGAGAAATGTTCCTTGCCATTGAGCAGTGAGACACCACAATCTGCGGAAAATAAAAACCTAAAAAACTCACTGATAAGTCTAGCTCTGGAGATTCTTTTTTTCTGTCTGCATGAAAGGTCAAGCATTAAGACTTCAACCATCACCTTTAGCCTCCATCAAGACACAGGCTAGCAAAAGAGAAAGAGAGGCTGCCAGGCAAACTCCCGCTCACAATAGCGCATTTCAAACTCCTCCTTTGACAGAATGAATGATTCTCTCAAAATAAAAAAGGGAGAAACACAAAATATAAAAGCACGGAGCCTGCGAAAGCAGATCTAATTATCATTTTCACTTATGCATCATGCTACTTTTTTTTTTTTTTTTCTGCAGAAATTTTCCTGCTGCAAGCAGACATGCTAGAGCAGGCCCCTAAGAGGAGATGGGCTTTTTAATGTGGAGCCTGCAGGAGCTGAGCTTGACTGCACTGAGCTGGGCATGTGCAATGAAAGGGAGTCCCAAGGACCACGACGCTGAGATTTCCAGTGCAACAATTCTAGTGATTCAGATGTTGCCAAATTTTGTCACACCTCATCATAAATCAGGATAGCACAGTGTTCTAGCCAGTCATTAGCAGAGAAATGACAGCCAGACATCCTTCTCTGAGCTTTAAACTTTTGAAATCACCTTTCTCATTCTGACAGGTTGTCTCTAGACTAAGTAAGAGAAAAAAAAAAAGTAAGCTTTTTTTTTTCTAAAAAAAGACAACAGACTTGGGAAAAATCTTAAGAGAAATAGATCTTTCCTCAAGATCAAATTCTTCAGAAAGGAAGTCCTGAGAGAAACAATATACCATTTTGTTAGGTACAAATGGTAAGTTTTACTATAGCAACTTAAGCTCCAAGGAAGCCCATGCAGGAAAGAGTTTGGGATCATCTCCAGAGATTTTCGGTTATGGCAGGTAAATACTGCCAGGATGCAGGATGGCTGAAAATGGCTGCCTTAATAACAGGGTGTAGGGACCCTGAAATAGTAAAGGACTGGCCATAGAAATCCCATCAGCTCTGCTCACAGTAGCTGAAATTCCACCTCAGAGACCTTCAAACCTTTGCACTGAACAAACAGAGCAAAGGTACAAACTTTTGGCTGAAAAAGCCTCCAGTGATGTTATGTTTGGGGCATTTCTGAGTTTATCATTTCCAGTGTGAGTTCATGCATTCCCTGGGTATTTTTGTTGAGAGGGATGCTCTGCTGCTCTTCAAGAGGTTGCCAGAAGAGGCAGCATGTGCAAACACCGCTCTGTCCCAGCATGTGGAGAGGAAGGCTGCATCGGACAGAGTGGCCTTGGAAAGGGGAAGCTCCAGGATGGCTGTGAGGGCCTGGTCACAGAAACCACCTGGACAAGTGCTCTGCCCTGCACGTACAAGCCAGCCAAGGGCCTCTCTGCTCATAACCACTTCCACCATAACCATGGCATACATAAAGGGGCAAAAAAATTTAGAAAGGTGTCAGACAGAAACCTGGCGCTAGGCAACAGAGGAAACTTCTGCCCAGAGGAGAAAACCTCAGTTCGTGTCCAGCTGGGCCAGTTACTTCACCCAGTATTTGGCAAGCAGGGCAAAGAGCTTATCCCAGCACTTGAGATCTCTGCTTGCTTGTGAGATGGTGAAGAAACAAGTTGAAAAGAGGAAGAATTTCAGACCTCGTGGGTGGTGGCTGAGAGTCTGCACGTACCTGGGACCACGCAGGCTGCTGCTATGGAAAGGGCTGCTCTCCCGGGAGGGACAGTGGTTCTGCTCAAGGGAGCACGGAGAGGAGGGAGACCCCAGTGAGCTTTCTGCTTTTGTCTTGTAGATGAACCAGGTGGCAGCACCAGGAGAACCAAAGGGAGGAGCATTTAGGAGAGAAAAAGGAAGCCAAAAACTAGGCCTGGACCCGGCAGAGTGCAGACGAGCCTGAGGGCAGCAGCAGAAGTGGCGCGCGGTCTCCTTTGTGGCTGCAGCTGGTCACAGCTGCGCTCCCGCATTCCCGCGGGCCGCTCGGCCATGCTGGGAGCTGCACATTTCCCACAGAATAGGAATGGGGGAAGTGCCACAGAGGGAGACCAGCGGCTCTGTCACACAAGGCCGAAACAGTGAGACGGGCTTGTCCGACAGGCAGGACCGGCCGTGGTGCCGCAGCAGCCGGTGCCTTGGCACGGCCTGCAGCGCTCAGCGCTGAGTGCCCCAGGGCGAGGGGAACCCACGTTCCCCCCAACAACCCTCCCAGCCCTGTGATATTTCCGGTGAGATGCCACTGAGCTTGTGTTTTCATTGACTTTCACATCCCAGGATGGATTTTCATCAGGCAGGAAGACCTCACCATGGGATGCTGAAGTACATCCTCTCCCCTCAAGAGTACTCTCATTTTTCAGAGTAGATGCCCATTAAAAAGGGCATGATGTCAGATGAAGCATCTGCAAAACACGCTGTGCTCATCCATTACCAACCGCAGACCGGCGGACGCGGCTCTATCACCCCGTGGAGGAAGCTTTAGAAACCCCTCTCCACCACCAGCACCACCCCCAATTTCAGTAAAGATCCTGTGACACTTTGTGGAAAAAAAACAACGTTGTATTTGATTTACAATTAACAGGATTTACAAATAGTGACAAGGAAACATATTAGCCGTGACAGTAGGATGCCTCTGTTGATGAAGGTGTAGCTCGCAAAGCACCTCTACATTGAAGTCTTAGGTACCTCAGTCCTAAGAAGTGTAAAATAACTTATAGGCAGGCAGGTTCAGGAATGATTATCCACAAATACAAGAGCTTGAGTACAAAACTAAGCCCCCACCCCAGGCCATTGGTAGGAAACCAGTTCTGGTGAGGTCTTCTGACTTTTGGAAACTGAAGGAAAGGCCCATTGGCAAGTCCTAGGGCGATTTCAAAAAGGAAAAAAGATCCACAAACAGTAAATTCATTGTACGACGACCTACTGGGCAGGGAGCGCGGGCAGCAGGAGCTGTGCAGCTTGCTGAGACTCGGCAGGGCCGGGCGCTTGGCGGGACAAGGAATGGGAACCAGGACAGACGGCAGCGCTTCGTTAAAATGCTACTTTACTGCCAAGAACTTGCAGGACAAAAAGGAATGAAGTTCTCTGATGTGCAACACAGCAAGTTAAGAAGGACGTACCTAACTTTTTGACTTGTACAGAGCTTACCTATATTGTAAACACACACTTTTGACAGGTTATTTTGATTTTCGTTGCTATGGGTTATGGTGTGTATTCAATCAAATGCAGCATTCCAAGGCTCAAAACTGATCGAGTGGTTTTCGGCATACGGGTATATGATTTTTCCAATATCATACTAGTATTTTACAGCACAATTACAATAAAAACAAATGGTGGTATCCTAGGACAGTTCCAAGATTCAAATAAAAAATCATCAGAACCAATTCAATATAAGATATTATACATAATCAAATCATGTTAAACAGCACACTCTCGGCAAGCAGCTAATTACAAGCATTCTGCTGGTCATGTTTTTCACACAAAAATCATTCAAGAGCACATAAATATTTCTTTTTCTGATCTGCTTCTTTTTACAAAACCATTCATCAGATTCACAGAATTAGTACAAGTAAGGCACATTAGCATATATCATAAAACTCACGATAATAACAAAAAAGTTGTAAAGTTTTAAGAGCTAATTCTCCTTTGCAGTGATTTCTGAACCAAAGGAGGCTTTGTCAGTAGAACCCTCCTGCAGGAATGGATTTTACTTCCATTGCAACCAACCGTGGTGGGTGCAGTACTGTGCATTACCATGGACATAAATAATTAAATCAATTAAGAACTGCGTGTGGTAACAAATCCTATTCCCAGATCTCGAGGAAAAATCAGATACATGGTTTTTCTATGTTCCTTATGAGCACAGACAAAGCCCTTTCAGGGCTGTATGGAAGTCAATTTCCAGTTATCAAAATAAAAGGGGATATTGCATGTTTCTTTGAATATGCCATTGTTTTCCTAGTATAAATATTGCTTAAAATAGGAAGGATGCTATAGCATTGA